ACCACCATCACCCCATGGCACGGCCACCACCACAGCCCCACGGCACCACCACGCCACAGAGGAACTTGCCCGTGCCGATGATCCTCTCAATCTTCACGCTAGCGTTATCCAGCTCCTTGGCGAAGAGGTGCACGGCCTGCATGGGGTCTTCGCAGGTGTCAGGGTCGATGTAGGTCCTCCTGGTCGGTATTTTGACTGCGGGAAAGCAGGTGATGCACAAAGGGGTCGTGAGGAAAGCTCGGCAGAGAGGAAACAGCCCCCCACCAGCAGGGGCTCCCTCAAAACCCCCATTCACACCTCCTGAACACAAACACCTCACCCTGCACCAAAACCTTTGCCAGCCCTTGAAGGCGGCTCAGCAGCGCAAGGCCCTCCAAGGCCTGGTGGAACGGCCATGCCGCCCCAAGGAGGACAGGGGCTCTGCTGCTTCCAAAATGCTTCAGGAGCAGCAGAGCATGCGTGTGCTTCACGGGCATGTGCCAGAAATCAAATAAACTCCTCAATCCCAGCATCTGAATTTCCTTTGACAAGTGGTGTCTGTAAAATTATTGCTGCTCGACAACCAAGAGTAGCCCCAGAAAACAAAGCTGAATTCTCATGTAGCTGTCTGTGAAAAGCTGAGGGAATAATTCATGAACCCATTGGAAAGCTGAAAGTGTCCCCATCTCCTTGGGCACGGTGTGACCTGTGTGGGAAGGACGGACACCGACTCGTGGAGCTGACAAGGCCGCTGTCCCCAGGAAGCCAAGCCCTGCTCGGGATAACGCGGGACGACAGCACTTCAAAAGCAAGGACTGGGGGCTGCTTTGGGTTATTCACAGCCACAAACACAGGAATCCCCTCAGTCGTACCGGGCACAGCGGCCAAGGCCTCACTTACAGTGGAAGTAGAGCTCCTCGTCCCCGTCCTGGCTGGCCTTGCTGTACCCGCACTGCCTGCAAGGAGAGGACGCGCGCCATTGCCCGTGAAGGCCTCAAACCGCAGCGCCCGGGGCAGAGCCCGACCCACGGCAGCACAGCCCCGCTCCACGCGTGG